AAATTTGTATAATACTTCCAGTTATACATACTAAACATAGTAACAATTAAACTGGACAAATTAATTGTAAAAATGTTAAACCAATTCATGCTTCAGTTTAGGAACCAAAATATAAAATTATTCTACTTGACAAGTTTCACATTTTATATGTACAATAAAACAGTGAATATCAAAATGACACCACAATTTTGTACATCACTGAATAGTGAAGACCAAACTCGGGATAAAACAGACATAAAATAAATTTCCAAAATGTTATTGCTGATACTGAAATAAAAGGAGATCTACCAAAATTGGATCTATTCTGGTTTGCATTTCATTTATAAAATTCATGTAATTTAAATTGCAATTATCAAGCATAGGGTAGTACCATTGCAATTAACTAACATAAGGTTCTGAATAAAGTCAATGCAACTAATAACCAATAAGTAAAAAATTCAATTGTCATAATGGCGGATCTTGAACAAGCAACGATTTGACTACATAGGAAGTAAACAAACTATTAAACTATATTCAAGCGCTAAAGAAAATAATTGAAAACTGTTTTAATCTAAATAAGCTATACATTATTTAAAAATTTAGGGTTTTTAACTTCAAAGAAAATTATCTGGCTCATTCCAATATCAGACTAACAGGAACTTATATTTTTGAGTAGATACAACAAAACTAAATTTACTTGAGAACAGAATATTTAAAGAAAAATCTAAAAGGGTTACTGAAGTTCATCGTGCTTTTTGGTCCTTTAAAATGACAAATTATTGTCATCAGCAGAAGAATTGAGTAAACACATATCCTTGTAGAACTTGACGAAAACACCAATTTCATCCCAAAACCTGTAAGTGCAATGTGTGATGTGAACAATTACCATAGCAGGAATTTACCCATTTCTTATTAAATTTTGAAAGATTGGTACTTTTGTTCAACTATGAGCCAAATGTATTACCAAAGAAAGAACGGCATTTTGAATCTGGCAATTGCTTAGACTAAATTCATCAACCAGAATAGATCCAAGTAATATGAAATTTTGAACCAAATGTACCTCCCACTCTCCCATCCTAAATTTCCTCTCCAAGTCAAACCTAGTGGCTTCTAGATCACAAAGCTTCTCCCAGAATTCTATGCAGCTAGTTTGTAATTCGGCTGGAATACATAACATAACGTACAACATTATGCATCCCACCGCTTGAACGTTTGAAGGGTTAGTGGATTTAGTTCTGAACAACTCTGCATCAAAAGTTAGGGAAACAGCATGTTTATTGATTAAGAGATCTGTCAGATTTTATATAAATTTTATCTTGAACTTGGCAATGAGTCTTATGAAACTAATAATCCTCGGAAAAGTATAAGACTGAAGTCGGACAAAGCCACGTAGCCTATTTATGGTATTAAGGTATTATGTTTTTGAATTGCTTGTGAGTCATTTTAAACCTATGTTTTCAACTATTTTTCAACCAGTTTATTTTGTAAAATATGTTGTTTTTTTTAGATTCATTAAGTTGAATTAATTAATTTATTTCTTAGAAGGCTTCCTAACCATAATGAGATTACCAATACATTTGAGCTTCACCAATGTATTTTAAAATATTTCTATCAACTCTACACTACAATTGTGTTTTCCAATGGCTAAAACACATATTAGAAACATAGACACATTACCTTCGCTACGCTATCTTTACACAAATTTAAATTTTATTTTTGTTATTTTACCTCCAAATCCCTCATTATGATTCTACGTTCAAGGTCATATTTATCCTCTTCAAGATGGGCGTACCGATCATAATACTGACTACAAATTGATTGAAGGTCCGCTAAAAACATGATCAAAGTGTTTGTATTTTTTTTATTTATATTTCAAAACTTGTATGGTTTAATTTGGTGATAGTTTGTTTTATTGTCAAATATTTTCTACAATCAATATAAGTGATTTAAAATTTTGTTTATTTGTCTAATTAGTTTACAAACTTATCCAGGAATAATGATGTGAAGGAAAAAACACTAAATGCCTTACACCTCAATTTTTAAATAAATTGTTCACAAAAAATATTGAAATTGCTACAATACTGGGTTGGGCTTGGATTAAAGAAATTTAAAAAAATTACATTTGAAAATATTTTTAAAACATCGTTTTAATGTAGATGATGTTAGTATTTCGTAGGAAATAAGTTTACGATTGGTATAGGCTAAAGTATTTATAAAGCAATTTGTTAAATTACTTATAGAAGAGACTTTAACAGTGGGCTGTATCTGATCCTACAAAATATTTTATCTTTTTATAAATATTTGTATTTTAAAGTATTTGGTTTAAAAATTGACAATGGATTCACACAAAATTCTCTATTGTATTACCGTAGATGGCACAGTAGTTTTATAGTATTTCATTTTAAAATATGTGCAGTAAAATCCCACAAACTTGGTAATCGACCGTTGGAGTTCATTTTCAATTGACATAGCCCTGGAAGTGCAAATAACGACGGATAATGACAACATACATTGTCAAAAAACCTTTGACGTATAATTTTGTAGTAAACCTGATACATATGGAATGTTGAATATCTATAAAACATATGTAGGAAATTTGAGACAAGGATTGTTTGAAAAGATATATTTTGAATATTTTAAAAACTGATATCTTGACAAACCCAAAAAGAACTTAATGTAAGTTCCATAGAACTTACCCAGTATTAATTGCGACTCTATGAGTGACAATCCATGTATTTCCTTCAAAAAGTTACAACTTTATTGCAAATGCAGAATCTATGAAAAAGAAAGGAATATGTGCTATATATTTTCAGTTTTAATTAGTGTTTTTCCTTAAACCCAGCATTTTAAAATTCAATACCTACACCTTTCTGCTTAACACCAAGTTTGAGGGACAATACTGTGATATATTTATAAAATATTTACAAATCAGTTAAAGTCTCTTATGGAACAAACTACATATCAAAAAGCTAAATACAGCTTACACTTTACATATTGTTTACCTAGAAAGAGCCTTAAAAGAGTTTGCAGACAAAATAGATTATAGAAACAACAATAGAGAGCTTCTACTGAAGCTGTTATTCTACCTCGGTATTATAACATCACTCAGATTAAGTTTTTCCTCTAAGATTTTGATTATTAAAAAAATTACAATCGGAGTAGCGCTAAATCTAAACCATTAAACCATTATTATAATGGTTTAGATTTAGCGTTACTCCGATTGTAATATTATTGACTATGGATAAAACTAGATATTCCACTCTCATGTTAAATTTGTTTTAGAACAAAAATGGATAGGTAGGATAGCAAAATATATTACTCTTTTATCGATGATTATTATTTTATGTATTTCATGTTTATCATCTACGTTATGTATCACTGCACGTTATGTATAATCTGTGCATTTGTATTTAGTATTGTAGGGACTCCATTAAAAAAAATTCAAATGAAAACCTATTTATGTATACAGGCAAAGTTAGTACTCAGTAAAACAAATGGAATTTCAAAATGTAGCACACTCTTTGAGGCCTTCAACCATGTTCCACATAAAAATTGGCCCCAGGTGATCCATAAATGTGACGTTTACTTCATCGGCAACATTTCCCTGTAAATCTGAGTGAAGTTACAATATTACGACGGAATACAGAAGCTCTCAATCAGGCGTACGCTGTTGAATTATGTACAAGTGAACGCCAGCGTCTACAACCGCACCTCTAAGTCTCGGCGCTCTACCTCGAACTCAATATCTATTTTGGTGGTTTCCAGACGGACCACCGTATTGTAGTACTCTTGGCAGATTTTCTTCAGCGCCGCTATTAGCAAGCAGTCATAAGTGCTTTTTGTAACATTGGTTTGTAACATCAAATCTGTATGACTTATGCAAATCTTTCACAAATAATATTTTTTTTCAGAAATAAAAAAACCAGAGACAAATATTTTTATATCAAATTTCTAATGAGTGCATTGTACTGATCACTTTATGAGGGATTATTCAGCCTTTATTATTTCGGAATACAATTTTTTTACACTGGAGAATTTACGTTCACAAACTCATGTTTAAGTCACACAGATTTGGATGCTTGTAGTAAGTGTAGATCATAGCTTACTACTACGAGTAATAATAACCATAACTCTAAGCTTAACTTGGGAGTGATTAAAGATTTTAGGTTTAGTAAAAACCTAGATTTAGCACTGGTGATACCCTAATGGGTGATTAGTAGGCGTTAAAGTTAAAACCTAATCTTGTTTGATTCCTTAAAACTAAACCTCTGACTTATAGTTTGTGTTTAAAATAATTCATTCGGGATGAAAAATGTCAAAAAATTATAGACAAACCCCACTTGGTTTATGTAAATAAACGAGGTGGTGCAGGATAAATGATAGGTAAAGAGAAATGTTATTTAGAGCAAGGGGCTGAAAATTATCTCAGGGAGCAGCGTTAAGCTTAGTTTTGAAACCAAAAAGTTTGCAGGACAAAATATACACCATTATTGTAACCCTGAAAAAGGAAAACTGCATTCAGTTTCATCAAAAAGCAAAGATCAAAAATTTACATTTAGATACGGACAACACGGGTGGAAAATAAATAAGCTAGCAATTAAAAATAAGCAATATCAATATGGCTTAACTGTTAAATAACTTGGCAAAATTACAGCAAATATTTGGGTAAATTTTTACAGTTCTCCTTCAGTAAGCTCACCAATAGATGTAATTTTTTACAGAACCTTAATTCAGTTTTCATTAATTTTTTTGTAAGACTTATCGAAAAACTAAAACTATAATTTAATTTATTGTAGAGAAAATTAAACTAAACAAATTACTAAACTTTACACACCAGTATCGAAATCAAATCATAATGGTGTCTTAGAAACTCATTGAATTAAAATTTTCAACTCCACTTCAGATATAAAAACTTACATCGATGAGCTTACTGTTGTAAAGCTGTTAGCGAATTTTCAGCAGTGCAAGGGTAATCCGCAATTAGCTTTGAAATCAAAAATCAAAATGGCAACAACCCTAACCTCAAAGTCTTTTTTCTTAACAATATATTCTACGTCAAATTTCTTGTCTTCCAGGTCAACGATTCTGGCATAGTATTCTTTGCAGATCTTCTTGAGGGATTCTATGACAAGCAGTCACAAATGCTTTTAATTATTTCAATAAGATTATCATGGGGTTTGAAGCTCCTGGTGGCACAGTATCAAAACAAACTCACCAGGGAAGAGTTCCATAACTTTATAGTACTGTAGTTAATGAAACCTCCCATAGTAACTCAATATCTAAACCCTGAGATTTTGCTGGGTGAAATACAGTTAACCTGATAATGAAACCTCCCATAGTAACTCAATATCTAAACCCTGAGATTTTGCTGGGTGAAATACAGTTAACCTGTTAATGAAACCTCCCATAGTAACTCAATATCTAAACCCTGAGATTTTGCTGGGTGAAATACAGTTAACCTGTTAATGAAACCTCCCATAGTAACTCAATATCTAAACCCTGAGATTTTGCTGGGTGAAATACAGTTAACCTAAATCTATGTTCAGAGAAGAGAAAGTGATAACAAGAATCTTTATAACACTTAACCATGTAGAAGAGCACAAAGAAGAATGTAGAGTAATTGATTTGTTAGGTTTAAACAAATGATTGGCAGTATTTGAACTAAAATGTTGGATTTACGTAGGTTCAATTCTAAAATTACAAACTCCCGCAATCATTTGTTCCCACCTATTTTTGTTAAGAAATGTGTTTAGACTAGAGGAAAGATAAGATAAACTCTTACACATACATTCGTGCCAGGCTGTGCTCTAAACAGCATTTAAACATCCACATTCAATTTTTCATAAAAAACTGAGCATCAGTAGTATGAAAACTCTTTCAAAACACAAAATGAGAGATGTTACACATATATTGGCTGGCAAGTATAAAAAAAAGAAAGCTGAACGTCATTGTCGACATCCAAAGCATTGTGGGAAGGGTCAGTCAAAAATAGTTTGTAGATTGTTCCTAATCTGGTGACGGTAATTTCATCAACAATGTTTTCAACTGCGGTTGATCGGATATCTAGAATTTAAACTGGAACTTTGCAAAACTATGATTCTTTTTCTCCACTGTTTGTCATCCCTAATTACCCCTACTCCATACAGAATTACTCTATCGTAGGAACATAAAAGTTATACAATATCATTATTGGTTTGAATTTGTATGGTTAATCATTTAAAGATTATTTTTCATAAAGATAAAGGTCCCAAAATGTTGGTCCACTGTGTTCCTCTTAAATCAAATCTAGTCTAACCTTCAAATTTAATTAGGCCCTTATTTACTGATATGGTTTACAATTCTTAATTTCCTGAAACAAATTGTTTGAACAAGAAACATCACTAAGTAATTTCGTTCCGCAATTATTGTTGATGAAACTACTGTGATCGACGGTTAACACATTGTTATTCTCATATGCATCATTCCTCCATTTAAATATTTTTGTTCCCTGACCTCGTAATCTTTTTTCTTTACAATGTACTCAATGTCAAACTTCTTGTCTTCAAGCTCGTGGATCCGTTCATGGTAAAGCGCACAAATTGCCTTAAGATCCTCTGTTGGACAGTTTTATACGTTTAAGATCAAACATGTTCTGTATCTAGACTACAGCACATTTTTGTATGTGGTTGAATAAAGCATATTGAATAGAGATGAGAAGTACAAGTGTATGAATGGATGCAGTCTTGAACTTGTTTACTTTTAGGACTAATGAATCTTAGGGGAAAAGTCTTTCAATTTCAATGAAACCCCTTTAAAACCTTTGGGAATATTTCAATTTGTTATTTTTAAATTGTCAATAAAGGATTGGACAGTAACTGAAATAAATTTGTTTGCCATCTCATTTTTCTTTTTGCTGGGCATACTAGATCAAATATATTTTAAGAAACCTTAACTAAGTTTATAAAAATAAACTACATTAATCCTACCACAATTTGTTTATTATGAAATCAATATGGTTTTAGTATAATTTTGCAGTCTATAAGATGATCCAATATTACGATCAACAAACCTCAATTATGTGTGTCAATCTCGTGTAGAATTATTTAAATCCACTAAGTTTTATCTATCATGTTTGTAAAACCAAATAGTCATAACACAACTTGACTAGCCTAGTTGGAATTCTAAAGATATATTTCTCGTCTTATACCTTCATTGGCGTCGTCCAAGTTCTTCGGTCTGCCGCAACGTTCCTCGATGATCCTTCTCCTCTCAGCAGCCTTGCGTTCCTGTTCCTTCTTCAATTCCTCAGCGGCTTTCTTTCTCAGCAGCAACTGTACAGACAAACCTCTGTTGAAGGATTTCAACAAAATAATCTTACCCACATCCAAATAATGTGGAAATTGGCGAATTAAAGGTTAAAAAACTTTGAATTTTAAATATTTGTTACAGAAAGTGGCATAGGCCTAGCTGGATCTCAGAGTGGTTGTAGTGGTCGCTAACAATCAAAAGGTGATCGGTTTCATCAGTTAAAAAAACCTGAAAAGAAGCTAAAATGCCCATGTTGCAAATTCAGTCTGGGATTATTTTAATTTTAGCAAGTTTTTGGAGTGCTCTGGGTAGCACAGGTGCTACTATTGCCGGGGTCAGTAAGACCAATAGTAAAGCACCGATTTTGATATTTTATATCTTCTAGGTATTGTCCTAGAGTATTGTCCGTGGATGAGTCACTACCTGCCACGCAGCTGCCATGCAGCAAGAATTTTTAGCTAGTACTTGCAAGCGGCGGCCGCATGTAACTCATTTCAGTGGCAAAATCAGTCTGACTTTCCCCATAAGCATTTAGTTTCTTATAAGGTTTGTATTCATTGTTTCAATTGTGAAAGAATAGCATTTTTATGGTCCAAAAATGGACCCAGCTGTCTTTGATTATGGGGATTTTAATTAATTATCCCAACTAAAGAAGCAGCTTATTTTAGAGAGTAACAAAGCTTCATTGACCATCTCACTCGATTCAAAACTCATTTTGCATTCATGTTTAGCTTAAAATGAAAACGCCACAGTGAATCCCTGTCTGAAAGGATTGAATTGCCTCAATAACATAATCAACTATGGATTATATCGTCAGCTATTGACTAGATTTTCACATGCGGAAAATGTTTAGGTACTAACATTATGTGTAAGCATCTACAGGAATTATTTATTTTTTACTATGGAAGTTGGTTCTAATTTATGATGAATTGTAACAATTCAGAAACTTGGGTTGATTAGTTGATTTGAGTAATAAATTATACTTTTAAGAATTCTATCTGAGGGAATACAGACAGTTAATTTGAGAGTACACAAAATTACAAATGAATGTTCAGTGAAACCTCGATAACAGGATCCCCGATAACAAATGGATTTTATTAACATGTGTTATTTTCAAACCCCCTTGATTTTATATCACCCTTACTTCTTAGCTGTAGCCTACATGCTATTGTAGACCTCGATAAGAGAACCTTTGATAAGAAGTCTTACTTAATGATCCCAATGAAAGACTTGTTATCGAGGTTCTACTGAACTATGACCGTAACTAGTACAGTACTCAATTAACATTATGGTATAGTTCAGTTACCTAACTGTCCGTTTATAGAATGTATAACAACTCACCCTAAGCTTCTTCTTCCTCTCAGGTGTCATGAAACCTTTCTTGGCCTTCTTCGCCTTGGAGGCCTCCTCCATCCGCCGACGGACCTCCGCCCTCTTGCGGTCGATTTCCGCCTGTTTCGCCTTCTTTGCCTGTCACAATCATTAATTAATTAGTTGCTGTGATTAATCTCATTCCTAATCTGTTTCGGTAATTGTTAACTAAGTTTCCTATGCTACTGGTTTGATTGAAAAATGCATTTTATACTGTGTTTCATGAAGCCCCTAATTTTAATCAGCCTAATTTTGAATAGCCTCTGGAGACGGTATAAATACTGTATGTAAATGTTATGTTTATTTTACCCACAGTAGTGTCAATTAATTTTGACTTGAATTTCGTACAACCACATACTGTGGAATTCACAACTTAATTTCAAATATGTTCATCGTGCTTGATTCTAAGTTACCTATTGAACTGCTAGTTATTCTTTTTTGTAATTTAAATAGTTACTTGCACATATAACTAGAGCTGTTTCAGTATTACCTCATTTGCTGATTTAAAAATACTTATTCTGCGAGTTCACAGTACCTCCTCAATGCGCCTTTTCTGTAAAACAAAAAAACAACGATTAGAAAATGTAATGATTGAAAAGTTATGAAAGCAGATTTTTTTTATTATGAATCATAATCAATAATGTTTGGTTTAATATTTTTACGAGGAAGAATTTGTTTAAAAATAAACAACTACCTATTGGATTTTTTATGGTATGAGACATATCAACTAGCATATATAATCAATATATCATATGTTCAACAATTCACTAAGTTACTGAGATTTAGTTTTTATGTTGTAATTTCTGTAGAAAATTAATTTTGAAATGTTTGGAAGGGTAATAAGTTTAAGTTTTTTAGTAAATAAAATAATCACTTTTTGATTCAGTTTGTAAAACATATTCTACAGCGAGCGATAAAAATACCAAATTTATTTCATGTTCTACAAAACCAAAGTATAAAAAACAAAGAGGCGTTGAAAATACAAAAGCAGTAAAAAATGAGTAATTGGTCATAGATGGTGAAACAAAATTCAAAAACTACTAGCAATTGGACAATACACTTGCAATTCAGAATTAACCTTAAACCGTTAAAAAATGTCAACGATTGTTAGTAACGTACAAGATTCAGTAACCAACATTACTAAGGATTGACCAAAATAATACAAAACTGCTGACAAATATCTTTACATTTCAATCTACATTAGCATCAGAGACAAAAGGCATTAAAAGATAGATGGAATAAAGTCGAACAATTATGGTAAAGTCAATGTATTTATAAGTTTTCTGTATGTTTTACACAATTATTAGTAATATTATTCTAAAGAAAATTATGAATTTATTGTAATTTCAACTTATAAATTTAGATGTATAAAACATTCACTGTTAGTATTTCATGGTTATGTACTAGTTAGTTATCTTCAAAGTTATTTGAATAGGAACAACCATATAATTTTGGATCAGATATTTTGACTGGTATGGTTTTTATTATTATCATGAAATTCAAACTCTGGATGGATTGCATTTTTAATAATTAAGTTTCTACTTAGTATTCAAAAGTAAATATGTTTAATATGATTTTATTATGTAGCCAAGACATTTTTTTACACGACACAGTATCCTAAATCAAAATCTGTCTTTTTTGTATGATGGTGTTTGCATTTTTTTGTTTGTTTTTTTTTTGTGAACAGTACAAGCCCTGGTTTTGTAATATTGTTTACATTAATTGCTATAGATAATATTGTCACTATACTCAACAAAACCAATAAAAGAAAGTAATATGTAGATAATACAGCAGATAATTAATAGATAATTTTAAATGTTAATTTTTCAACATGCTGGCACAAAAAGAGACATAATAAGCAAAGAGGAGAGAAAACCAATTTAGTCACACAAAAAACAACATTTAAAGGGCTTACCATATTGAAGTGATGGATCTATGATACCATCTATTACACTAATGTAACACTAACATATATACATCAGTCATAATAAACTGGGGTATCATGCCGGATAAAAGTGAAAAATGGCAAATAGTTCAAGTTTGTGTAATTGATTTTATTGACTATACTAATTTGTAAATTTATTTTTGAAAAAAAACCTAATCCAGCCATCCAACTAAGTGTTTAGTTAAAATCAAAACTCTGCTGAAAAATACTCATAGAAATACAAATTGTATTCGGCTTGTATATTTTCAAAAGCTTTTCATATTAAATAAATTATGAATAATTTTCGAAATTCAGTTGATGACTTTTAAATCTCTTTTAATAGCTGATTGTAAGCATAGATTGTTGAGTAATGGAAAGGTACACACGTAAACCTTTAAAAAACCTTTTAAAAAACTGTAAAACCTTTAAAAAGCCATTTTTCACTTAAAACTCAGTGTATCGTCAGTTTATACACTGTTTAACTAAAGCTATTGTTACTTTTGACAGGTAAATCAAGGTATGTACATATCTTGTCAACATGTTGAATAATGTGAATCTGTGAGACTGAATGCTTGTAATGTCTGAATTTCATAAAACAGTTTAGACTAAAATGTGTATTATGTCTTGTTGCATTTTTTAAAGATAGACCTTGCTTCAACATTGGAATGTAAGATTACTTTTATTAAGTGATTTCAATCTAAAGTGTGTTCCATAAAAGATTTGTTTCTTTTTTATTTTATTAATTAATTTATAAGCATGATGTTTCCATCCAAATTTGAGTTTATATAAGTATTTAAATTTAAATTATTGATACATTTTCATTAAGTTGTAAATGTTAAATGTGTGTAGCCCATGTTTTGTGTGTGTTTTTTCCTAAACAATAACAATAAACATTCAAGGGGTAAATAAACTCAACCATTAAATGTTAAATTTGTTTACACAATATTTTTATGTAAAAATTTTAGTTTACAATAATAACGAGTGAATATCTTTTTTAAATATAAACAATGTTTTACTATACACTATTCAAACAATAAACATTATTTATATAATAAACATAAAATGGTTGAGAGATATTTTTTAAGGTTTGGGGAACACAGACCAAGCGAGTAATGTATTAAAAAAGCAATAATTACCTTAACATAACTACAGAGATATGGATAAGTCTTCATGTTCATTACGAAAGCAGCATCCAATCAAACCCAGAAGATCAGTAAAGAAATTTCATGAAAAAGAAAATACAAATCAAAGTTAGTATCCTGACAGAACTTCTATTTTTTCTATTACGTTTATCTCCTTTTTCAAAACTTGGAAAGGAATACTTAAAAGGGGACTTTAGGGTTTCTAAAATGCCTATAGGGTACTATTTGACTACCTAATGTCAAATAAATGCCATTTTTCTCAGGGACCATGTTAGATGAGTTATATCTTTTTCCGCTTGAAGGTAATCTTTTTTATTTATGCTACACAGGGATGTTTCGAAATAACATGTCTAACTTACAAAGTTTTACTTTTATTTGATCAAAAACTCTCTTTAAAAAAATTATATATTGCAATATTTTGTATCAGCTATTACTAGATATTTGTTAAACATCTCATGTATATAGTATTTATAGTAATGTTTCAATTTTCACTAAATACTGATTCTATTTTAATAAGGCGGTAAATTGAGAAAAAACGTGCACCCTATAATTAGCCTATTCAATTTTCTTGAAATTAATATACTTCTAGAAAATATCAGAGTGCACAGTTGTTCTAAATTTAGGATCTTAAGTAGTAAGGATAAAAAACATCAAAAAGATAACTCTATTATTGCCTGAACGAATACTTAACTTCTCAAGTATAGCAAATAGTGAATTCTAAGCTTAAATGTAATTTTTAATCTCATTATAGGCTAGGTGAAATCATTTAGTAGCCAAAGTTTGTCAGCTTTCCAGTGCAAGAATGCTCATTATTGGTTTGAAAAAATGTGAGTCCTTATCATTGTACTGTACTCTTTTTTTTTACGCAGAGTAGAAACCGGATCACTAAATAGCATGTGTTTTCCTCCCACCCACTTCTTCACTATTAGCATCTATTAGTAACCCAAATAAAGTAAAGGCAATCAAAGATTCGTTTTCTTAAAAAAGACTGTTTATACTATTCAGTGATGCATAAAACAGTAACCAACTTTTCTTGCGGAAACATGCCCAATTCCATATCAGATCAAATTAAAAACAAAGCTTAGAAGTTTTAAAAACTTTTAAGATTCCAGACTTAGTGCTTAGTCTTAACTTGGTGATAAGTTTTATAATATTAAGTGTCGTATTATCGCTTAATAAAGAGTGCCTGCAATTTAAGTGACTCATGACCTTCAACAGATTAGCAAGGTCTAGAACCACCTAGACTCGATATACGACTGACTCATTAGTCATTATACAGTGCTTGACTTCTATCACAGAACAAATAGAGGTAAGTGTATAACAAATATAATCTTGTTTCTTGTAATCGAAAAAAAAATAGGCTAGCCTAATTATGAAAAATCAAAGCTAGTAGAGAAATTGTATGAAGATAATTAAAAATATATGTAGCCTACTGGAACTTATGTAGGTTGGCCTATTAAAGATTAGTTTATTATAATCTATTTACTGTACTGTATATAAACAAATTGTTCAAAAACTTAATGGCTGGTGAAACCGCTTAGTAAAAGAGAGAAAAGAATTTATTGATACAAATAAAATCTATTCTATTTAATGGAATATCACTCAAAAAAGAGCCAGCAGAATTAATTACCCAGGTTTGGAACATGAGCCTAAAAATATACCACAAAAAAAACCCTTAAAGCGGCACAAAATGGCTTGTATCACCAATAGTAGTAGAAGTTCCCTTATTTTCTACATTAAATTAAGTTAGTAAATAGCATAAAAATCCACACTGTTTTTACGAGTTCTTCTTAATTTGTGTTAAGTTTAATCACCCGTATAATCATGTAAAGCAAAAAATAATATTAAAAATTGAAACAAAGCAAAGTGACTTGAAAGCCTGGGGTCCCTTATGTAACTTATTTGGAAAACAGGAAGAGTCGGGACTTTTGTATTTACATATCTACAGAATCGGGGGGATTGGATGGTCGGTTTGGTACCTAATGAATTTGGATATACCGAAGGTTTCGTCTTTAAAACAAACCTAATCAATAATTTTAGTATTTTAAATCTAGGTTAAAAACCAACATTTATTCAAAATTTGCTCATGACTTAAAGCGGTCGAGATGACTAAGATTCCCGGATCTGAAAGGGTTAAGGGTTCAAGTTTAGGGCCTACTTGGCATTGAAAGAAAAATATCGATATCTTCTGATATAGATGGTATTGCAGCGCCCCTAGGTAGCTAACCAAACCTAATGTTTCAAAGAATAGGTAATATTATCTAGTCTAATCAACATTTGTAAGTAACCCAAATGTTACAAAATGATTCATCATCAATTTATGTTTTAGAGGTTAAGTGGTAGAGAGAGAGAAATCACAAGTCCTAACTTCACCTCTTAAATAAAGACATTTTTCATTTCATCAAAAAATTAATACAATGAGAGTAAAGCATTAGCATGGATATTTTTTGCATTTACTGGAATAGGTAGAACGGTAGAAGACTAGGAGAAGAAGAACTTACCTATCTTCCTCTAGAAACAAATCCTCACTCACATAAACTAGTTTAATTTGGGATACTCACCTTACCTCATCGTCAGCCATTGTGTGTCTTGTTGAGATCTACCCGACCTGAAAAAATAAAATATTGTTAGCAGGCCTTAAAGCCAGATCAATTGATTTGGCAAAGAATTTAAGAGGGACATAACAACATTAAAACCTTGGCTAACTTGGACTAATCTAGGCTAACCTGGACTATAACCTAGGCTATCCTATTATTATCCTAGCTTACTTTTATTCCTTTTAGTCAACTTGTGAGAGAAGTACCGATTTGCCTCGCACTCACCTATCAGTATATGTTCCGTTTACAGGTTCCCACACAATTACACAAATTACCTTCAGTTTTAGGTAAGTACGCAATATAATATTGTTTTCATAATTTCATAACCTTCAAACGTAAGTCGTAGTTGCTTGACGTAGTGGTTTAAAACGTCATGATTCGCGGTTCAGCCAGTTTTAAACTTTCGTCCAATCAAACCCCTTGGAAGGAGGTTGTTTACAAACAAGGCTGTTCCAGATTGCCATGCAACACTACAAAACGTTAGATGGATTGTAGTGAACAAACTTCTTTGGTGGAGTAGTTACGTCATTGATTATATACCTAGTATGGTCCCGAACTTCATCTATTTTCTTGGCTTCAAATGTTTACATTACATGGGAAGTCTATCAATGGTCATGAACTCATGAAACATTCTTTCAAATATGACAATTGTTTACATATCTCCCGTAAGATTTAATTAGCTTACATAACTTACATTACGATGAACCTTTGGTTGGTTAAGCACAGATTGAATTAACCGAATTTGAACTGTGCAAATTGAATTTTCACCCTATTGTAAATCTGAAATCTATTTCAATGTGTATTTGATGTTTGCTATGTTTGAGTGTGCTGATGTCGACTAAAAGTTTCCACATTTTACATTTTTAACTACAACTTCTACACATGTGGTGCTTTACTCTTTGGATGTAATACGAGAGGACAAGGATAATAATGGCTATGTTTATATGAAAAATATTTTTAAATTTGAATAAAAAACAAAAAAGTAGTAAATAAAGTGTAGGCCTAACTTTAACTATAAAATATATGTCATTTTCATTCCATTTCACTGTTCAATGAAGAATTGACTGCGAAGTGTTTAGGGAGTAATGTATGTCTAATCGGTTATTGTAGCTATTTGTACTATATAATATAATGAAAATTAACGTGCAGTTGAATTGAGTCTTCGAGAGAGTTTAATGAGGTAAATTACTGATTTCAGTCGAATACTTTATTGCTTTTATTTGAAAACAGACGAAAAATTCACGTATAGTATCCATAGTCAAATAGTCTTAGTCCAATTAGTCCATAGTCAATGCTAGTGGAATGCAACACTACACAATAGCACAATATTCGTTATTTTATCTTTATGGGAATCGAGCCTGTAGTTGTTGACACTACGATGGTAGAATCACAGAATAAATAAACACCAATTATTTGTTGTTTATTTATTCTATGGTAGAGTGTTCTTTTTCTCTTCTTCTGCTTAGAGTTCTGCCGTTCCCTGTTCTGTTCTGCGTAGTTTAGTTAGTCTAGTCAGAGGAGAGGAGAGACGGCGCCCCGGTCGGTATAGCGGATAGCGGTGCCTGTTAGATATTTCTACGACTGACAATAGTGATAAGTGACGCCGGTTTTTGTTTTGACACTGTACTATAAGAGGGGAATCGAATCGGAATCACTCAGTTAAGTGTATTAGGCCTACGTGAATATAATTATAATAGTTTCCTGTTTGTTGGTGACTTCCCTTTGGTTTGACTTGACTTGTTGTAAGGTACTTGAATATAAGTAAGTCCTAGTTGTTAAATTAAAGTAGAGGTCCTATAGTCTATGATCTAGGTTTATTGATGGATACCTGCTGCAGGGATCTCAAACGTTTCTATTATTTATCAAGAGTTTTAATTTTTAAACTATCTTTCAATACATAGCACTATTGAATTAGCTTCTATTAGTTCCATGGTTCCACTTTCAACTTGGATGTATCAGGCAAAGGAGTCCTGATAAGGCATAACAGAGAAGTCACAGTTTTCACCAAAATATTACTTCAAAACCTAAAAAAAAAAATCTCAACATTTTGTTTGGGATATTTTCATAGTTACAACTACAACTATTTGTATTTTAGCTCAGACACTTTTCACCTTCAATATTAAACTTATGACATTAGCAGGGCTATAGTGTAAGTTAAAGTTAGTGCCATTATGTAACAATGCCACAATGATTCTTTTAAGCGTTAAGATTTAAAGATCATTTATAGCCATTACCGGATAGGACAATTTAGGCTAGTTGTTTTTTTTTTGTTTTTTTTTAACTAACACTTCAGAAATTGTGTTTAGGATAAGTTATGGGTTTTGAACATTTTTTCCGTCTATTATTTGACTTGCTTGAATCCATTAATCAATGTAGGCCTATGTCATGCCATTAAACTTTTTAAATTCAAAAATTAATAATTTTGTAATTAATTTTTATGTCAAATTAGAAAAATGTCTCTAGTTTATACAGTAGAACCTCGCTAATTCGAACCTTGATGATTCAAAAACCTCTAACTAGTAGGCCTAATGTTTGTCTGTTCCCTTCTCTCAAAAAACCTCGAAAATTCAAAAAATAATATACCGTACTGATAATTCAAATTGATTTTTACGCTTAATGCAGCCTCTACAATTTGAATTTGCATATACTCGAGCCTCTACAATTCAAATTTTGTTGCCGTAATTCGAACTGTTACCTCCAAAATTTGAAATTAGACTCTACAATTCGAACTGTGTTACCATAAGCCTCTGTAATTCGAATTCAGGAAAAATTATGCCTGTTGAAACATAACTGACGCTCTTATTGAAGTTCCCACGATGTGTTCATTAGTTTCCGTTCTCTCAAACTCTCTATACATAAAACTGGGACACATAATTCAAATTGTATTTATTCTGACCTCTATAATTCAAACTCTCTATATTTCAAACTTCCCATGATTCTAAATATATTGTCTTTCCTCTGAAATTTGAATTAGCGAGGTTTTACTTATGGGACGTCTACTTCAGTTTATCGAATAGTTAATGGTAATAACAAAGATTACTATGCTAACGCAAATCTATTTTGCGTTAGCATATGTAATCTTTGGTAATACATAAAGAGATCTTCATTTAAATAATCAATAAGTACAATTGAGCTTTGCCTCCATATGTTTCCTGGAAAGTGTGTTGCAACTGTTTCTTATACTAGATTTAAAAAACCGACTTATTATTTTATGAATTTTTACCCCATAGCGAAGCACGGGCAAAGCAACTACCGTAGTAGAATCATAATACCGGTATTTGTAGTTTTATTTTTAGTTGGCTTATTTTAATAATCATTTTTAATTTTTGGATGAAACTACAATCATTTTCCGCAGCAAAATTGATGGCAAGTGAAATGCCGGCTTCCATTTAAGCTATAAGTTATTCAAATCAGATGAGTTTCAAGCAAACACGAGGTAAACAACCAACATAAAAATTATTTTTTATAAGGTTTTTCTATGTTTAAAAATCAAAACAGTAGCAGCTCCAGTATTGTTTATGTTTTTTTATGTTTTAGACTTTACATAATCAGTAAATTATAGGCTTTAATTTGAGCTATTGAATCAGTTAAGTTCAAGATACTGTATTACTCAATCAAAAATCATAAATATGATTAATTCCCGGATATGATTTTTATTTCAACGCTGCCGAGCAGAATGGGTCCTCTAGTTTTTATAATATTACACACAATCAGGATCACCTTAGTGCTGTTATCTTTGGGATGCATTCAGTTAAAAATCAATCATAAACATAATTATTTAAAAATGCTGTTATTTACAATTCAGTACAAGATCACGCCACTCATCCTATACTCATCTTCATTATTCATACTTGGCTGAAAATACCTACTTTCGCATGGTTGCCATTTCATATAAAAATATTAAAGCAAAGTAATTAAAGTGTTAAGAGCTCCCGCCAAATTGTACGTAACTTTCTAAAAACCCCTTCCCTTGCCCCGTCAGGGCTTGGAGATGTTTTTTGAGGGTAAGAGTCAGTGTTTTAATGAAACTCACGCGACAGGGATGCATACAGCGTCCTCCAATAGCATTTTTCTATTAATTTAACTAATTTATACAGTCCGCTAAAAATCATATTTGTTACACTTTTTAAATTTAATTAAATTCATTGTGTATTCTGAACTTTTAACATCATTTCTGTTTTCTTACTATGTTTTAAATATAAGCATAACCAGTAGTGTTTTTCTTTCATCATTCCACAAACAACTGTTAACTCTCCAAGTGTCTCTAGTTTGGGTCTTAATGTTTGCCCATTTATTGCGCAATCGCAGGGTTTTATTAAAATGTATCTTAGAAACTTAAAAACAATGTAAAGTGTACTGTTTTATATATAATTTTGTTTGGAAAGTTATGGGCTTCAATGTAACAAAATATATAAAACATTACAAAAAAATGTTCAACAATTTTTGTGAGGTTAACATTTCTCAAAAATTATAAAATGAATGAAAAAAATTTATGTTTGCGCTCAATAAATTGTTATAATTTATAGGTCTACAAATATTTTAAAATAGCCACTTTGTTCAGAATTTTATGAGGATTCCAAAAATATAATAATATAAGGAAGTACATTTGCAAATAAATAAGTTATGGGCAAAAAACAGATTTCGGTACATAGCGTTTAGCTAAGAATGCATAGCCTAACCATAGCTAGGAATCTGGCTGATAATTTACATCAATATCACTACCTACTTCTTCAGGATCATCAACCAGCCCTTCAAAATCACTTAAATCTTCTTATTATGCACTACGTATATCACTACTTTTGATTTTTAACACTAAAACAATGATAAACGTAATAAAACACATCAGTCATCAGTGCGAGGTTAACCAAGCTGTTTACAAATACGCACGTCAGCTGTCTGCTACAATTATGATCGGCTCGAGAAAAAAAAGCGCTTAGAGACAGACCTCGGGAGAAAGCTTAGAATCTGCCAAAAAAAACTACACCTAACTCGATCCAGTTCAATCCGATTTAGTCAGTCATAGAGCCTTCGCCGTAAACAGTGTTTGTGAGTCGCAAAAGCGACACAAAACACTACACAAAATGTGTTATGAGTCGCTTTTACGACACATAACACTCGGAGGGTTAACTCATTAAATTAATATAATTACCAACTACCCAGGCATCAGCGCACCAACCACAAACATAAAGTATTTTAGGAAATAATCTCCCTTAATAGGAAAGAAGCTACTATCACCGTAAGTAACACTGAAAGCCTTAGAATATGGACTGATTTACTTTTTCATTTTGAAATGCACAGAGGCCAAAAACACTATTCGTTCAAATTTTTTAACATGTTTTTATACTCTATATCAATTAATCGAGTTATTTAAAATTTGTCTGTGAACACGATAACTCGAGAAACTTTTGTAATAAGCTCGCAAACCAGCAAGATCGGGTAAAAAATAGAAACAATAGAGTATTAACATTTTTCATAGGGAAATATTTTAATTGTTTAATATTTTGATCGGGAAACGGGGTCAACCACAGAAAGCACGTAATAATCACAAAACAAAGTTCAATTAGGTACAACAATAAATGTAACTAGCAATCTATTTGAGTATCAGTATTGACTTACAATATTTTTTTCAGGCATGTCACATCCTTTGTTAAATTATTTAGCCAAGAAAAATGGCAATACAAATGGCGAGTACGAAGAGGCTGCTGACGTCTTTGATGATTTATCACAAAGATTGAAAATCACAATTTCTTTGCCGAATGTAAGTTAAATAGCTAGTAACTCTTTCAACATTTTTGGTAAAACTTTAATAGTTCATAATTTAGTTATTGGTAATTTATTGAGGCCGGAATATTTTTTATTTATGTATTTCAACACAATGTATGCTCAAAATCCTTCTCCTCTACTAGGCATATGTAAAAGAAGCAAAATATGTTGTGCGCAAACCTCTAAACTCACTAATGCCTTCAACTTCCACCCAAACCAAACACCATTTATTTAAGGTTGGCTCTTCACTCCAGCAAAGCCACACATAAGTGTAAGCTCAACATGGATTGCACATGTATGGGATTCGAATCTGCACACGTCAGTGCAAAACCATAGACTATTGGATACAGAAGTTGTTGTATTAATAGTCAAAGGCAAAACCTTAATCAACTGAGCTACCTTGCCACTGTCGGCTCGGCCTAAAGGCCCGATTGCCACTAGCACACTAGCGCTCATAGGTTAGATTCAACGTACTACTTGAGGGGTTAGCAGTACAACTATCTTGCATAAAATGCTGTGATGAGCTACACTCATAAGTTGTCGTCAATTGGTTAAATAATAATACTAGCAGTACCGGTACACACAACTTCCTAGTACACATTATTCTTTGAGTCTTAAAAAATCGCTAACTTTTTATGCACAAATAATATGAAAATTAACTCACAAACAGTGGCGGTTCCAAGGGGGGGGCTACAGGGGCTAAAGCCCCCCCCTTGGACCCTGGAAAAATAAATTTTAACGTACATTTCGTCCTTTAAATACTGTCATAAAACAGACATCAACGTAGGTTTATTAAACTTAATGAGCGATGGCAGGAGTAGTATTAAGTTTCACATAGATAAACTTTGTGGACAATAATAGCACAACGAATAAAACAATATTACGCTATGGAAAGTTGTACGCATCATCCAATTTTTACAGCAGTCAGCTGACATGCCAGGGCAAAGGCGAGCGCCGAGCGCGCGAGCGAGGACAGTGAAACAGCTGATTTCCTGAGTTAGTTGTCAAATGGTCTCCTAGCCACTAACTTTACACAGGCATCAATCAGCAATCAGCGGTAGCACCACTAGCCTATTACCATTGACTATATAAACAATAAGTGTTAAAGTTTATATATTCAATGCTATTACTGAATTCAATACTATAAATATTGTGACAGATCTATGAAATGGAGAAAAAAGTAAGGTTAATAAACGTGTCTACTTGCTTGCGTGACATAAAACAGGAGAAATGGAAGGTTATAGGACAATTAGACACAGTTCTAGCCGTTATGTTTTGAGTCACCAAACGGCTTTTAGGAGATTTGGCTTCGTAGTCTACAGTAGGCCTATGTTTTGGAATTCATGAATGCAAGTTCATCATAGCTTGATTATTTTAATGTCTACTTGCTCATGACAAAACAAATGACAGGTGAAATGAGAAATTTTTGAATAGTTGGCCACAGATATAGACATTAATAATGGCTTTAGAAAGTCAGTAAACAGCTTTTAGGAGGATATGGCCGTAGCCTACAATATGTTTTGAGATTTATGAATTAATGCAATCGTCATAGTTACTGTAGATTTAATTAAAAATGTCTACTTATTCATGACAAATAAATGGGGAAATGGGAGGTTTTGTACACAGTTCTAGACGTTAAAACTGGCTGTAGAAAGTCGCCCAACGGCTTTTAGGAGGATATGGCCGTAGTCTACAGTGTGTTTTGAAATTCATGAAAGCAATCGTCATAGTTTAATTTTTAAAATGTCTATTTGCTCATGACAAACAACAGGTGAAATGGGAGTTTATGGACAATTGGGCACGGTTTTGGGTGTTAAAAATGGCCTTAGAAAGTCACCAAACTGCTTTGAAAATTCGAAATTTTCCCGGGGGAGGACCCCCTGGACCCCCCTTCTTTGTTGGGGGGTGCTCCACACACAAGCCCCCCGGTAGCCCCCCCCTTGACATGGTCCTAGAACCGCCACTGCTCACAAAGTATATAATAATTTCTGTAATAATTGTAATAAGTAAGCAAGATAAAGCAATCGTCTCAGTCATAACTCTTTATTCGTACTACGAAAGGTTTGGAGGGAAAGCTGAGGAGGAGTATGCAGGTATGGGGAGCTGACTAACTTTTTGTGGTATGTGTTTTCCTAGAACCAAGAACAATCAGACAACGCCCATTAATTGCAGGTTCCTACAGTCTAATGTGTACCTTAAAGAAAGGGTTGGCAAAAGGGCCGTCTTGAAATACCCATTATATAGTCATACCATGAATTAGCAGCACACGATTTTAAAGGACTTGGATCATCCAAAAAGGAAGGGTCCGATACACAGAAGGTTGAACAACCAATCATTTGATAGTCCAGCCTATATTTTATGATACTAAAGTAGTTTCCCAAAACATCAAAAACTCCATCCATGGGTATTCATCGGTAGCTCTGTCATTGAGGATCAATTAATGTGTGCTTTTGCATAGTATTTTTCAATCAATTGAACATCCACTCAAATTTTAATATATTACAATTTTTTTGCTACATTTTATATACTTATGTTAATAAAATTGGCGTTTATCTAACATTCTTTTTTCAGGTTGATATTACAAGAGTTACAATTGTTCATAACAATTACCTCGAGGGAATGTACGAGCTAAAAAAAATGGAGTACAAATCCAGATATGGTTCCGTTCAAGAGGTAACCCTTGTCCACTCAACCAGCGCTTATAATGTAACATCTATCATTAAAGATAACTTGGACTGGCGACGCGTTACAAGAAACAAATACGGCAAAGGAGTTAGCTTCTCTGACGATGCTGACTACGCTAACTTCCATTCCAACCGCGGCAATGGTATGGAGGTCTTATAATATTTTTAAAATTCATTCCTACCCTAATTACACTTCAAATTAATTAAAAATAAACTTGCCACTTACAGAATGTCCCTAATGTAGCTTTGTAAGATTATCCGTTCAATTGGATACTGATAACTCACTAGACTGGCTGTAATTCAATGTTATTTGAACCCAGTGACAAGACCTGTATTATACAAATAATTTGTTTACCTATGGTGCCTGAAGGTCTTGTAGGTTGTTGAGCTACTCAATACGCATTTTGCCGCTCAGTGCAGCATCTTCATGGAGTATCTTCTTACACTAGATTTCTACAGTAGTGTAAGAAATCTAGAGTGTAAGAAATCTAGAGTGTAAGAAGATACTCCATGAAGATGCTTCACTGAGCGGCAAAATGCGTATTGAGTAGCTCAACAACCTACAAGACCTTCAGGCACCATAGGTATGTAAATTATTTGTATAACTAGACTATTTGTCTTTTAGCTATGATAAAACTGTTGAGGTTAGGGATTAAGTAATCTGTCCATTATATATATTACTTGCTGTCTCATCTAAGCTTTGCTGTTTCAAGGGTTTGGTTGCATGAGAAGTAAAATGCCAGCATTCAAAACATAAATAACTAGAATACCAGTATGCATAAACCGAAAATTAAATATAATTTCTTTCATTTCATATTAGGCCTAATATGATCTCAAATTTGTCCATGGTCCAAATATGTATGGATAGTTTCCAAACCACTTTTTATTCAAGCTTCTATATCTGATTTTTTTTTATTCCTTTGTTGTTGAAATATAATTTTTATTATAACAATTGAACCTTGCAAAAACTTGTTTTTTGAGACAGCTAGTAGACTGCTAATTTTATTGCATTCTAAAGTCAAAGTCAAAGTCAAAGTAAAAAATCCTAAATAAAAAGTTTTTGTTTTACTGTATGATATAATGTCTAGTTCAAGGTATTAAGAAAGGGAAATATTACATAAAAAAAATATGTTTTACAGGTGAAAAAAGAGCGTTTATTGTAGCAAAAGTGCTGGTATCAACAAAACTCATTGGGCATGGCTCAATGGTAATTCCTCCTCTAAATGTTGACACCTCAATCTCAAATACTGGGAAGGTATATGTTAAGTACTCTGACAATGAGTTTTTGATTAAATACATCGTCTACTACAATGCTCCTGATAGAACCAAAAGCAAGCACTACCGACGACCACGACACCACTTCTTGCTTTGGTAAAAGGGTTGTTTCCGTTTTACAAAAAGTTGTATTTTGTGCTTTAAAAGTGTACTGTGCAGTAGGCCTCATAAGATGATTGTGTCGACTGGAGGTATATAACTGTGAAAAGCAGTTTGATTTGCTAATGTTAACTATCTTTAGGCTGTACTTTAACAGCCTTAATGATTTAAGGTAAATGTGATTCTAATTTAACGTTAGGAATGTACTGGCTGTTCCCAGAATGAGACAGTGTTCAGTATTTTGGAAGAAAACTTTTGAAACCAATAATGTGGTCTTAAGTCCACGGTTTTACAAGGGTGTAATAGTAATTAAAGTTTATAGATAATAAGTTTATGAAAAACCTAAACTAAAGTTTCACTCACAATTGAGGAAATCTGTTTTAGCGAATCGATGTGATTATTGTTTGTACTTTCACAAACTATTATAGAGCTTAAGTTAAACATGGTTTTTACAAAGGCAATGCCAGACTAGTATTATTTTATCACAAGTTACTTAAGTAATTTAGAGTGTAAGTTGTTTGTATTCTTTGAACCAAGTTTAATTTTACTTTATGTATGAGGAGTACTTCTTTAAAAATCCTTCTAGCTAATTTCTTAACTTTATGTTATTTAGTAGACTTTTGACTAATTTTAAATTAACTTAGATTTGTACTAAATGTTTAAAATTATAAGTAGACCAGTGAATTTTTTTGTTTTAAATAAATAGTTATTAAAGCTTGTTCAAGGTATAAAACAAAAACCATTCTTAGATTGGTTTGCATTAAATTTTTGATTTTATAAGACAAGACAATTAATTACTTTCTATATATCTGTTACCAAATTTAAAATTTCAATTACGGATGATATTCCATTAAACAATTAATTTTCTTTCATATTAATGTGATCCATAAAATCTCTTTATGTATAACATTACTCTTTATAATGTTTCTCCTAAGTCCTAATATTGGTTTTTAGATTGTTAAAGAAATTCAATAGCATCCTTCCCACTTCTGAATGATGATGATATCACATTATAAGTATGTAATACAATGGTAATACTAACAGAAAGTTACATAATTTCCTGTAAGATTCAAAAAGTTTGAAAATTATGTTTTAAAATTTGCATAGAATAAACTGTTAACTTTTACATTTACTGACCTATGTTTTAAACTTTTTGTTTCTATGAAACTTTGTAACATATTAACAATAGTACTGTATTATTAAAGGGTATACTTGATCAAGAAATGCAATATTAAGGCAATGAAGTATTAGCCTTATCTAGTAAAGTTGTTAGTATAAGCGGTATAAGCATTAACTTTTGGATAAGTTATTGTTCATTCATCCTTCAGGGAAAGCATTTATACCTTCTTTTTCCTCTTTTTCTGTGAAACATATTGTAAATATTGTAAAATGCTTTTCTAAAGAAATTTCAAATATTATTCAATCATCAATAATACAAATGTAATAATGATTAGAAGTCATGGGCACTTAAAACTGCCAACTTTTATAAATTGATGTAGGCCTACTGGTACTCACAACATTTCAGAATAAAATATTGTTGGACAGTTTCAGATTTAAGTTGATTTAGTAAAGGAAAATATGACTCATTGCCTCCATACAAAGTGCAAAGTTATAATATGAGAGATGTAATATTGCACTTGTGAACTTCTCAAAAGCAAACCAAATAGTGAAAATAAAAGTGGGTGAATTATTTAATGTAGCCATTTACTGGGGTAACCCAGGACAGGTTAGCTTATTTTTGAATTAAGAAATTGACAACAGTTGGAATGTCATGGCAACAGTAGGGATGTCAATATCAACACCCAACTGTCAAAGCTTTTACATAAATCAAACTGAAACGTATCTTAAAACTGCTGCCAGCTGATTCAAAAGTACAACTGTTTTGAAGTTAGAAACTCCCTTATCATATGCCACGTCATTACAAAAAGAGCTATGTGAAATCAGAGGTGCAAATTGAGCTTTTCATAGGAGTTGTCAGTTGATTTGTCCTTGATTCTGGTTTATGTTCTTTTGCTTATCTCAATATTGCACAGTGAGGCGATAAGAAATGCCAATATCTGGTACCTGGTTGATAACTTGTCATTATAGGTCTCAGGTCTGAGTGCTAAGTGGTGACTTCGATAAATAAAAGATTTAGAAAATAACACATCTGTTTATAATTATGTCTATGTGAAGAGACAGCAACTTTGTTTCTCTTCAGGGTTCAGAGAGAGTTATTCTTTTAATAGGTAAGTCAATTGGTAATTTAATTGTTATATTAATTAGGGTTGGTTCCATGTCTATTTTATAGATTAATTTTGAGATAACTATAAAAAATTTACACTGTTGATTAAAAGATTGTTCTTGGAGTTTGCTGCTGATTTCATACCTACTGGTAGGGTAAAACATGTACGACTTTCAAATCCAACTCATAAATGGTGTGTTCAAATCATTCAACTGTTTTTGAATTTGAATTTCGCTACAGGGACGAAACTATTCCATTGGTGGCATGGTAAGATACAGGATCTATTAACATTTTTTGTTTCAATGTCCCCAGAAGCCAAAATTCTATTTTTTTTATTTATATAGCTTGTAAGTTTATAAATTAATTTTTAAAACCATAAAATCTTGTATATTTTTATATTATCTTTTATTTCCTAGTGCGTTTTGACACTTTGGTAATGGCCACAGTCATAATTTTATTTACTATAAAATATGTAAAAACTAAAAACTTTTTATTGTGTTCTCCTTTATGTTTATACTTTAAAATTTGGACACTTATAATTTCCCCTGGTTGTGGCTTTGTTATGCTCAGTATTCATTGGCTTTTGAATTGATGGGTTATTTTATTTTATCTTTATCACCAAAATACTTACTTGCAATAAGCATCATTAGACTATGGGAACAAGGCTTATTATAGGGTAAAAATTATGGGTATCCCCATTTTTGTCCCTCAAAACACAAAATATTACAATTTCTTTTAAAACTATTTTGTAGAGCTTACAAACAATTAATAATATTGACAAATTTTTTGCAATAGTTCTAGATTAAATCTAATTTACTGTAGGACTACATTACACATTTCCGTTTTATTCTTATGGGGAGAATAAGTTAACGGTTGTAATAAGCTTTTTATGGATGTATTTTGATCAAGCATGGCTTGTTTGTTTATTTCAGACTAAGCTACCACTGAAAAAAACTTTACTTTTTACCTTTCCTGTGTCAGGAAATTTGATTGTTTAAGTTTAAATATTTTAAATAAAACTAACCATTAAATTCTACTATGAATGTGAAATACTTTGAGTGTTCTACTCAAATGCCACAATTGTTTAATCTTTTCAGGAATAATGCATCCTTTGTTGGAATATTTATCTAGAAAGAACAAAAACACAAATGGTGTGTATGAAGAGGATGCTAGCCCAATTGAAGAAAACCTTGCAACATCGAGCATTTTACCTACTTTACCAGCAGTAAGTGAAATTGGGTCTTCATCATCTGCATTTTATCATTGACTACAACAGCAGGGTCTTGTTTAGTGGGAAATTTCTACTTTCGTTATTATATTGGTTTATCAGTTGGTTAAATAAAATCTAGTCTTTGTAGTTTCTTATTGCATCTGTAAAGGTCTGTACCATTTTATTAGCGAATTCCCCTATAGGGAAGTAGCTATTACCGTAGGTGGCACGGTAAGACCTAGACCCGGGACCGATTTACTTTTTCATTTTGATGTCCCCAGAGGCCAAAAACACCATTCGTTAAAATTTTTATATATATAGACTTATAGATATATATATATATATATACTAGCTGTTGTACCCGTGCTTTGCAACGGGAAGAGGACACAAAATAGAAACATTTTAATCTTTACATCTGTTGCGTATAATAGTTACACATCCACCAACGCTTTTAGAAACAAAATTAAACTTTTATGGCCTTAGAAACGTTTAAGTTATAACTTTTAAATCTGGTATTGGATACCACCATTTTGGCTTTGAATAATTTTAAATCTTGTGTAGGCTGATATGAGAAAAAACTGGCCAAATCTTTGAATAAAACTTTTACATACATGATTTACCTTAATCTCCCTTAATTACGTACCTTTTTCCTTTATTTTTGACGTTTTGAATTTCAACTTTGAAGTTGCAAAAATACTAATTATTAAATTTAAATGAACATGTTTTTAATTTCACTCTTCTTCGTATTAAAACACCAATCCTTCCATCTTCAGTTTCTTCACTCACAATAAATCATTAGCAAAACTAACTCAGCTGTTATAAACTTTAGAAATATTGTTGTGCCTTATCAATAGTCTTTTGAAATATTAAAGAAACTATATATATACTATAACAAAATTTTAACAAATAATTTAGCATTAAAGACAGCAGACAAAAGTAATAAGATAATCAGAGCATCCAAGGACTAAAAAATGTAATAACAAATACAGTATGTTTCATTGCATCTCTGATTCTACTCTACAAAAATATCAACAAACAACTTAATATACAAACCAGTTCTTTTAATCAGTTCCATCGCCCATTGCATTTACATTTTCACACTTACCATTAAGTAAACATAGTAACAGATATTTCATTGATTTTAGAAACAAAAAAACCCTGTGTACTGCTTAGTTTTATGATATTTCCCTTGGTTTAATTTAATCAGTGTGGTAAAACACAAATAATAAATTTATCAAATAAAGTAAATAGGAACTGAAAGCTTATGTTAACATAAAATAAGTGTATTTTGTATTACCATTTGATAATGAAATATACAGTACTTACACATATACAATAGATTTGAGAACACAAAAATCAACGATGAACAATTTAGTTATTGATGATATTCTTTAGTTTAATTTAAGCATAGGTTTGGGAAAACACAATAACTAAATTTACCTAAATATACAGTACATATAAAAAAAATGTGTGTGCAAGTTATGTTAAGTTAATCCAACTTACTCTATTGTCTATGATCCAACACATGTTAAGCAGTTTGAATTTATTTAAAGTAGCCTCCAAATTCATACAAAACATCTATACATTTTAATTTTCTTACTGTGTTCATGAAAATATATTAATAACATTATTTTCACTTTAAAATCAAAAGCAGAGCCATTTTTATATTTCTATAACTATAGACATTGAACATTTCTTTTATTAAATACACCAACCACATAATTTAGCCCAGGCAAATTAGACATATGCTCCCCAAAAAATCGTCTAAAGCTGGAAAGTGTTTTAATACCTTTTGGGGGTCCCAAATAAGACTCCTGTGAGTGTGCGACGGATTCTGACGTCTGCTTAAGTTTTGGGAGTCGAAAAACTATGAAAATTTTGCACTTTTTTCAGTTTTTCGCTTATAACTCCTAAATAACGAATCCTAAGGAAAATGTTGTTCAAAGGTGTCTTTTAGTGCATTAAATTCCGCGTCGATTGATGTTAAATACGTCAAAATCGGCCGAGCCGTTTAGCCGCTGTAGCTTTTCAAAGTTAGGATATTTTCATAAACATGGCCAAAAGGTTGATTATTTGACCAGTTTTCGGCTTAAAACTCAAACGACGCATGCTATACAAAAATGCGCCTGTAGTTAGTTTGGAAAACACAAAATTCGGCGTAGAATTATGATTATGAATGACTAGATAGTGGTTTATTTCATGGTTATCATCCAGAGGTTTATCCAAGAATGTGTGAAGGGAAGGGTAGCAAGACCCCCTATGCAATTTTAAATCTAATATTGTTGAGGGGGTTACAAAAATTCTAGGATTCGTCCTAAGCTCCCATTTATACGATCCCATCTCTGGACGCTCCCAAATGATGTTAAGCGATTCTAATATAATAAGATATTACAACCAGAAAATTTTTTTTAAATACAGCAAAAATGTTTTTTTTAGCTTAATAAACGAAAGATGATAATAGGACGGATGTACATAGTTTTACTATGTATTTAGCCTATAAAAAAAACGATTGGGATTTTTCGTAGATTTTACTATATAACTTTTCTACTTCTCATCATTGGAATCTTAAGAATAAGGATTCATTCTTTGCTCTTATTGGTCTTGCCACAAATGGTGACATTTGGTACCATCTTTTTCGTCAGATATCGAATTGAGATAATCGAGCCCCCGGCAAGTCTTTCAGACGGTAGTGCATTATATCCCTGCATTTCATATGGAGCGAGAAAATGTAAACCTTTTTAACATGTACACGATGTAATAGGCTAAATACATAGTAAAACTATGTACATCCGTCCTATTATCATCTTTCGTTTATTAAGCTGAAAAAAACATTTTTGCTGTGTTTAAAAAAAATTTTCTGGTTGTAATATCTTATTATATTAGAATCGCTTAACATCATTCGGGAGCGTCCAGAGATGGGATCGTATAAATGGGAGCTTAGGACGAATCCTAGAATTTGTGTAACCCCCTCAACAATATTAGATTTAAAATTGCATAGGGGGTCTTGCTACCCTTCCCTTCACACATTCTTGGATAAACCTCTGGATGATAACCATGAAATAAACCACTATCTAGTCATTCATAATCATAATTCTACGCCGAATTTTGTGTTTTCCAAACTAACTACAGGCGCATTTTTGTATAGCATGCGTCGTTTAGGAGTTTTAAGCCGAAAACTGGTCAAATAATCAACCTTTTGGCCATGTTTATGAAAATATCCTAACTTTGAAAAGCTACAGCGGCTAAACGGCTCGGCCGATTTTGACGTATTTAACATCAATCGACGCGGAATGTAATGCACTAAAAGACACCTTCGAACAACATTTTCCTTAGGATTCGTTATTTAGGAGTTATAAGCGAAAAACTGAAAAAAGTGCAAAATTTTCATAGTTTTTCGACTCCCAAAACTTAAGCAGACGTCAGAATCCGTCGCAAACTCACAGGAGTCTTATTTGGGACTCCCAAAAGGTATTAAAACACTTTCCAGCTTTAGACGATTTTTTGGGGAGCACACCCTATATTTGATCTAATTTGCCTGGACTAATTGTTTGAAATATTATATTTCATTTCATTAGATCAGCTGTCTTAAATTGTAAAATATGCAGTTTAGCAGTTCTTGTTTACTGTATTTTGAAATGTCAAAGCAAATGTAAACATTGTGAGTGTTCTCATCGCAGCCATGGTGACCAATCAATATTTACTTTTAAAATCCTTACCTCAGAGCCTTTGAAGCCAAAGGGGCAAAGCCCACGGTCAGTATTGAAGTGTGAATAGTCCTATAATGGTCCTTGGTATGGTAACTATATTTTTGTAAAATTTAAGCTAGATTGTTTCAGTAGTTTTCACACCTATTAGTAATACACATACAGACACCATTAGATTTTTATATAATAGTATAGAAGTATAGATATACGTCCGTGAACGCGATAACTTGAGTAATTTTTGTCTGATTTTGATGAAATTTGGTTTAAAGGTGTAAAGCAGGATAAACTAGAATGAGTTCGCAAACCAGCACGATCGGACGATGGGAACGGGGCTTTACGGGGGGTTTTATGGGGTAAAAATTGGTTTTTCTCAATTTTGACCCTCAAAACACAAAATTTCCCGATTTCTCTTTAGACCTTTTTAAAGAGCTTAAAAAACAAATAATTTAGTATATAAAAGTATTTTTGTTCAATTATTAGTAACGGAGAAAATTAAAAAAATTGTAAATTTAAAATTCCCATGTTATTCTTATGGAGAATATTGTCAAATGTTGTAGTTTGCTTGTTTATGGATATATTTTGATCAAACTTGGCAAATTTATTTATTTTGTACTAAGCTAACAATATTTTACTCAAAAACACACTTTATTAGTTTCCTTGTAGCAGCAAACCTAGGTAGGTACTCGTTAAACCTAATGTTATTAAAATATATTTAACTGAAAATCAATTCAGACAAATGGAAATTCGCTTAGTCGGCAGGTTTGCTGCGGCGGGGGTATTAAGTAGTTATGCAAGCTATCAGTTATCACTAGTTCAATGGTGTATCAATTTAATTTCGACATATTACAAATTTTAGCAACATTTTATATTATGGCAACTATAGCAACCTGTGTCACTTCTTGACTTCAAAATCCGTGATATATTTTTGATATATTGTTGATATGGTTGAAAACACTTTATGTCTCATCATATCCCTGTTATTTTCATTGTGCGTGCGATGTCTTCGAGATATCTTAGAAAAATTACAAAATGAAACATACCATGAAAACCCAAAATCTAACGAAAGTCATTTTATTCATTACATTTTAGAGAAATAACATTACAATATTTTAGTTGAATTCCCTGAAATATCACCAACTTACAGATAACCCCATTTTCGTATGGATGTAAACAACTTTGCACCATGGCCACCTGTTTTGATGCAAACAAATGTAAACTTGAAAAAGTTCAGATGATTGACAACAGAAATCAGAACAAACAATTACATTTTAAATTCCTATAGGACAGAGGGCTTTTATGGGATTTCATCCAAACTTGCAAAACACATCTAGAGGATAAGAGCTTTAAATTTATTCCCAATATGCCTATAAAAATAAATATTTAGGGGTCAATTTGCTGCACACAAAAATCAAACAAATTCTTTTAATAACATAGATTACCTTCATTTGACACGTTCTTTGATCGGACATTTTTTCCAGGTTTGTATAACCAGAGTAACAACTGTCCATAACAATTATCTCCACGGAATGTACGAGCTTAAAAAATTAGAGTACGAATCCAGATATGGTTCAGTTCAAGAGTTAACCCTTGTCCACTCAACCAGCGCTCTGAAGGTACCGTCAATCATTAAAACCAACTTGGACTGGCGACGTGTTACAAGAAACAAATATGGCAAAGGAGTTAGCTTCTCTAACGATGCCAACTACGGTAACTTCCATTCTAACCGCTGCAATGGTACGTATACTGTGCTTTTTTGCTTAAGATCTGTGGGTTCCTTACAGTTTTATAAAAACGTTGTCAGCTTAATTGCACTTCAAATTAACTTTAAAAATAAACTTGCCACTACCACTTAAACAATAATCTAGCTTCATTTGATCATCAGTTCAATTTGTGGATTTTTTTCTGTAGTGGTTTAGTTAAATGCATATCATTATCAATTTTGATAGTGTGAAAACTCACAATCATTATAGAGGAGTGAAAGAAGTGATTGTAAAAATCTCTTAAGATTAAGCAGTAGATGTTTAATTTCTAAATAATAGATGAGTGAGCAAAGTGAACTAATCTATGTATCGGTTATAGCGGAATCGGAGATTAGTTGTCCGCTTGTGAGTGTGTTAGGACCACAATAACTCAATAAACTGTCTCCCTAATAACGTTCAAATTTTGCACAAATAGTCATGACACCACTGGGAAGATCGCATTAAAATGCTAGACGATTCCGCTCAGTGGTAATTATAAAATCCTAAAAAAACATATTTAAATTTGTCCCATAAAAATAACATTAGAATATATCTTCTTCTTCTTTTTTACATTTTACAACCAACAATTTTGTTGTTTATTGTTGTCTAAAGAATGAGAATGATTTTTCTTAAGCTCTTTACATTCATGGAGTAAACAGTTTGACGCCTGAATATATGACAATGTAATTCTACAACTTCCAGAATGATAAATTGAAATGAAGTTGAACTTTTACAATGTTAGTCGGCAGTTAAATATAGTTTATGTACTGTACAGTATTAAAACTGAACTTTCAGCACAAATATAAACCAACCCTACACATATTTAATTATTCATTCATTACCTGTAAATAGTGTACCGAACCGGATTTACTCATTGTACTTGAAGTTGACAGTCGTCTATCATTATCATCCACGTTTGACGAAGTTAGCCAAAGCAGAGCTATTTTTTATTTTGTTAACAATCATTAAGTAGTTCTAGCTTACCCATTTAAAATAACTTAACCCCTGTTTGGTATTAATTTAAATAACTTTGGCATCGGTGAGTGTGAAAAATGAACATCAGGTTTCAATGACCAGAGGGGGGCACTAATCTCAATTTTGTTTATTGCATATTTGTACATTAAAGTTGTTATTTCAGTTATTAAATGTTTATGGTTTATAATCAAACAAATTTCTTGTAAATTATAAAATGTGTCTGTTTATAATATAATTTTGACTAATAAACCCAATTAACCACAAACGAGCCTTGTTTGTTAGATATTTAAGTATACAGTGACCAGTTATTATCTGAAGCAAGCAAATCTTTTGTACAGGTGAAAAAAGAGCGTTTATCATAGCAAAAGTGCTGATATCAAGAAAAGACTATGGATATGACTTTGTGGTAATTCCTCTTCCAAATGTTGACACCTCAATCTCAAGTAGTGAAAATGTATATGTTAAGTACTCTGACAATGAGTTTTTGATTAAATACATCGTCTACTACGATGCTCCTGATAGAACTAAAAGTAAGCACTACCGAATACCAAAACCACGATTCTTGCTTTGGTGAAAGGGTTGCAATTTTATAAGAGAATTAATTACTCTATTTTTTTTCCAAATTTAAAATTTCAACTACAAATGATATTCCAATAAACGATTAATTCTCTTTGATATTAATGTGGTCCATCATTACTCTTTTTATGTATAACAATACTCTTTATAATGTTTCCCAAGATAGGTTTTTCAGATAGTTTAAGGAACTTAATACCATCCTCCCCCCCTCTTGTGGATGATGGGAAGTAGTAATTATCACATTATAACTACTGTATTTACTACTTACAGAAATTTACTTTTAATGTTTTAAAATATATAAAAAATAAACTGTTAACTTTTACGTTTACTGGCCTGTTTTAATTTTATTGTTCCTATGAAACTTTGTATAAGGTATTAACCATAGTACTGATTTGTTAAAGGGTATAATACTTGATTAATAAATGCAATAGCAATGAAGTATTAGCCTTATGATGTCTTATCTAGCAAAGTTGTTAGTATAATCGGTAAGCATTAATTTTTGGATAAGTTGTTAGTAAGTTTTGTACTTTTAGTATGAATAAAATATGAGTGTATTTGACAGCCAATTATTTTTGAATGCTTTCATTCATCCTTCAGGGAAAACATTTATATCTAATTTTTCCTCTTTTTCCGTGAAACATGTTGTAAATAATGTAAAATGTTTTTCTAAAGACATTTGAAATATTATCTATATATCTAATTTTAAAACTAATAATGATTAGAAGTCACGGACACTTACTGTCAACATTTATAAATTGATTTGCTAACAACATTTTAGAATGAAATATTGTTGGATGGTTTCAGATTTAAGTTGATTTAGAAAAGGAAAGGATGACACATCGCATCCATACAAAAATCAAAGCTATGATATGAAAGAGAAAATATTGAATTTGTGAACTCCTCAAAAGCAAATCAAATAGTGAGAATAAAAAAAGATGGATTATTTAAGTAGTCAATTAATAACACCACCCCAGGGCCGGCTTGGGTTCTGTTTGAATAAAAAAATTTGCAACAGTTGAGATTTTAATTTCAATATCCAATTGTCAAAGCTTTTACATAAATCAAACTGAAACTTAAATGTACTAGTGTACCTGTTGCTCGAATTCGAGCAATTGCAAAGTATTACAGGCGTTATTTTAAGACGAATAAAAGTCATAATTTCTGATGACTTTAAAAGAGTCGACTCAAAGATTAGGGAAGTACTCAAGATGTAAATAACAGTCCGAGATAATCAACATTTCTTGTAAATATCTTATCATTTTTCAAAAGCTGGTCTTGTTTTTTAGTGTTTTCTACAAATAGCCTTACTCAATACTCATAGCCGCATTAGGTTGTTCATAATAACGATTATAAATAAAAAAATATAAAAAAAACATTACAGTATTTCTATTTCTTTTCCTTGGTGGTGTTCTATGACTTTCCTATGTTTCCATAGTTTGCAAATCGGCTTTTTCAATGATTAGGCTACTAAGAAATGCAGCATAGTGTTAATCCTCAGTTTTCTTTTAAGTATATCATATTATACAGGCTCTCTCGCTTTTTTCCATTGTAATATTTACGCCAATCCAAATTCAAATAGTAAATACAAGCTACAAGCTGCTAAACCCCTGCTTTACAACGGGAAGAAAATGTGACCTAGAGAGCTAATAAAGTGGTGCTGATGTGTGTTTTAAAATACAGCAACTCTATGATTAAGTTTGAAAATATAAACTGATTTAAAAGCGTAAACCTACTTACTTTCAAACCCCTACTTTTGATGTTAATAGATCCATAAGAATATGACAACATACCAACATACCTTAGTGTAGCAATAGCATCAATTGCTTCATATTGATGCTTTATGAATTACATGTTTTATTATAATTCCTCAATTTTAGTCAAGCTTCTTCACATGTAGTTTACGATATAAATTAAAATATGAAACTTTGAGCGATACGTTGTATTAATAGTCAAAGGCAATACTTTACAAAACATGCAGCCTCACTTTAAAACCAAACATAACCCTCCTCAGTCTACATAAAGCGCCACAAACATATTTTTCAAAGAATAATACACCAGTTCATTGTACTGACCAGCTGTTTCATTAACTAAATTAAATTAAATCATTTAAACATTGGAAGAATGCCAGGCGTTGCCCTTAGGAAATCAGCCTGTGGGGCAGAGCCCTTAGCAAATTCGTCCATATCAACACTTTTCGGCAAATCTACACACTTAGCTTCATCTTGATGTGCCATACGTCTATGTTTTTATTTGGTAAATGGCCTTATCCGTTTACATAAAATTTGATTGTATCACTTTAATAATAGGCCTACAATAGATTTCATTTCAACCAAGTCATTAAATGTTTGTAGCAAACTGTTAAATTGGCAAACTTATTGACTGTTTACAATTAACATATGTTCTTCTTCTCACTTTTAATTTATGACAACAGCTGGAGTTTCATAACAATGTTTGTTTCCCATGTTAATCTTATGGAGAAATAAAAAACTTGAAAGGGCCCCAGGTCCTCACTCTCTAATTATTTCCCTAAAAAGAAAGTTTCCTGCACAACTTCACGTATGCTCTTTCCAATGACACCAAAAACATGTCAATCGGTTCAGTAATTTCGGAGAAGTAATTGTCACAAAAAACCTGCTTGCGTATTAAATAAGTACTAGTTGCTCTACCCGTGCTTCGCTACGGGGTGAGAATACAGAAAAGAATAATTTGGTTTTACTTTGAGATACTATAATATACTATAAGAAACAGTTACAGCACAATAACCAGGAAACATATATATAGGCAAAGGCTCAATCGTGCTTATTGATTATTCAAATGAAGATCTCTCAATGTATTACAATATACTATAATTTTATATAGTGTATAGCATTTAAAATAAATATGCTCAAGTATAATTCAATAACCACATGGCACCAAGAAACAATTCTCCTTGTAAACAAATTAAATTAAATAGCAGAACTGTATTTCTGACAACAGCTGGAGTTTCATAACAATGTTTGTTTCCCATGTTAATCTTATGGAGAAATATGAAACTTTAAAGGGCCCCAGGACCTCATTCTTTAATTATTTAGCTAAAAAGAAGGTTTCCTGCACAACTTCACGTTACGCTCTTACCAATGACACCAAAATCATGTCAATCGGTTCAGTAGTTTCGGAGGAGTAATTGTCACAAAAAACTTGCTTGCGTATTAAATAAGTACTAGAGGTCGTCCAGCGGTCGAAAACTCGACCAAAAATATGTAAATGAAATTAAATGAAAAAATTAAAATTATATGAAATAAAAAATTATATATTTATTCAGACAAAGTTAGGGCCACATGGCCGTTTCTTACACTATGTAATGTACAGTGTAAACCCCACTCTGTAAATAAAACATGTGATAGGAATTTGTTTTGATTTTCTGTTTATATTTTGTTGTTATTTCGTCACTAACATGGCAACCCATAACTCCCATGTTATTTTTGTTTAAGTTTTCAAATTAATTTTTTGTGCTTATTTTTGAGCCTATTTTAATTTATAAAGGGATTCTGCACATCTACAGGAAAATATCTTTCCAACAGTATGCGTAGATTTTCCCTGCGATGCACACGAGCTGAGAAAAAGGGTTTTAAAGAAACATGCTTGCCTATTAATATATAGATAGATATAATATAGAATAGATAAATAGATATTACAATTGTTGCCAACTGATTCAAAAGTACAACAATCTCCCCTTCAGTAAATACGCCTATTCTATCATTCTATGATACAACCTTTTGAGGTAAGAAACCCCCTTATCATATGCCTAGACATTACAAAAAGGGCTACCTATGCGAAATCAGAGGTGCAAATTGAACTTTTCATACGAGTTCTTGAGTTGATTTGTCCTTGATTCTGATTCATTGTTCTTTTGCTTATCTCTATAAAGCAAAGAGAAAGATAAGAAATGGTAATATCTGGTACAGTACCTGGTTGATAACTTGTCATTATTGGGTCTGAGTGCTGAGTGGTGACTTTGACAAATAAATAAAATATTTAGAAAATCACACATCTGCAATGTCTATGTGAAGAGACAGCAACTTTGTTTCTCTTCAGGGTACAGAGAGAGTTATTCTTTTATAGGTAAGTCTAGTAAATTAATTGTTATATTAATTAGGGTTTGTACCAGGTCTATTTTATAGATATACTAGCTGTACCCGCGGGCTTTGCCCCGCTTAACTTCTAAGTATTCGCATGGCTCAATCACGTCCTGGTTGAAGTTCGTTCGCTACGCTCACTCACCTTCAGGTTGGAAATCGTTCGCTGCGCTCACTTGTTTTCAGGTTAGCTCGTTCGCTACGCTTACTCGCCTCCAGGTTGATGTTCGTTCGCTGCGCTCACTCACCTTTTGGTTGCAAATTAGCTGTTGTCATACATTTAAAAAAGTCATCCCTTTTATTGTTCATAATACAGTACTTTTATAAAGGTTTTTATGTGTTAATATTTAACATTGGAGAATTTAAACGTTGTTAAGTGCACAGGTGTGCTGCGATTGGGGTTTAATACATTTGGACTTATTCAAAAGTAAAATAGTTTTCCGTGCTGCAATCTGTAGAAACACTGTGGCACTATTTCAAATCATGACCAATGCTAATACAGAATGTTGTAGTTATTCAAACGTACAAAACAGTTGGTGAAAGTAAACATCTGCTTTTAAATTATATTTATTTGTAAACATTCTAGATCAAAAAGTCTGACATTGGCCCACTTAAAACCCTCTGGGGCAGAGCCCTTTTGACGGATCTGCACCAAACTTCACTCGAACCATCCTTGAAAGATGCTTAATAATGCCTGAAAGTTTCATTACAATCTGTCGAGCGGTTTCGGAGTCCATAACGTATATACACATATATATACATAAATACATAGTTCCTCTTTTATAGATATAGATTTTGAGATAACATAAAAAATGTACACTGTTGATCAAAAGATTGTTCTTGGAGTTTACTGCTGATTTACTCCTCAATTACTGGGAGGGTAAAAATGTACAATTTTCAAATCCAACACAAAAAATGTGTGTTCAAACTATTTAACTGTATGTGATTTTCGCTACAGGGACAAAACTATCCCATTGGTTGCATGGTAAGATACAGGATCTATTAACTTTTTTTGTTTTGACGTCCCCAGAAGCCA